CCTTAATAAAAATTTTGATAGACCTTTTAACATCTCTAATATTACCCCTCCCATTAATGTGTTAGAAATGATTGGGAAAATTCTATGTAAAACTTGAATTTTTTCTTAACTTTGGTCTATTTTTTAGGTGAGCCCCGTGCGTCGATTTTCACGGATCAACGTGGTAACGCGTTCTATGCCGCGTTGTGATTCACGTGGTATATTTGGTTGCCCAAAACCATTATCGGGTGAATGGGAAATTGAAGCCAAAGTGAGCTCTATGAAAATGGAGTTTTGGTGGAAATTCCTTAAGGTTGGAAAATGGCTTTCCTATATTGATTTGATGGGAAGTTTTGAATGGATTTATAAGGCATGGGATTGGAACATGGGTTGTGCTCCAAGGGGTACCCAAGTTTTGTAGAGAGGGAGGTTATGGGCAAAATGGGCTAGACCCATTGGATCCAAAAAAAAAAAATCACCACGCGCGCGCCGCCGTCTGTCCGGTCGGTTGGGCTTGTTCGGCCCAATGCTAATCTTTTTGGGACAAAAACATTTGAATTTAAATTTTATTTTTTGAAATAAAAAATGTCTGAATTTCTATCCAGATTAATTTCAATTTTTGAATTCAAATTGTTGCACCGCTCCAGAATTTTGTACAGGTTTTAGACAGATCCGAATCTATCCAGATTCAAACCCAAAACCGATTTTATCTGTGCAACAGATTTGGGTATATGTTCAAACTTCAAAACCAAACAGTGCCTTAAACAGATTTGTATTTATTTAATTCAAATTGAACAGGTACTATACCTGTTTAATTCAAAATGGAAAGCCACCAATCCATCTATAAATAGACTAGCCCTCATTTGTTATTTTCATTCACTAAATTTGTCCAAAATAATTCTGCATCTATTCTCTTCATATTGCTACATTTAATTTTTGTGAGAAATAATGTATACACTAAGTGTGTTCGTTGAACAAATAGATTATAGTGCTGTATTTATTTGTTGTTGATCATTTCATCCTGCGAGATAGACGTCCATATTCTAAAAGTACCGTGGAGAGGACGAATCTGTCTTAAGGACATAGTGTCGAACACTGGACTTGATCAGAATAATATTCAAGTAAGTTATTTATTTATTTTCTGTTTTATTATTATTTACTTAAATCAGATTTTAATTTTGTTTTGGTAACAAAAAAAAATCTGTTTTTATTTATTTAATTCTATTTCTAGTTTGATTTTTGTAATCAAACATTCTCTCTCTTTTCTTTTCTTTTTTTCTTTTATATTCTGTTTATCATTTAATACCTAAACAAAATTAATTAATTTAATTACAGAGAAGGTTGTCCAACATAGGTCCTGTTTGGTAGAGCTGTGGAAAAGTGCTTATAGCTTATGCCTTAATAGCTTATAGCTTATAACTATGAATATAAGCTGATTTCTGACTTATAAATTAAGCATCTCCTGCCCCACTCAAAGAATAAGCTGATTTCTGACTTACAAAAAGTTATAAACTGCATTGTTAAGGTAAACCAAACATATTAAAATAACTTAAATTAAACTGAAAACTAAAATAAACAGTTTTTAAGCTGCACCAAACAGGCAGATAATATAGAACACGAACAGCGCACCTCCCTTTCTTAATCCCAATACAGAGATGTGTAGCAGCTTTCTTGGGCCTGATTGGCCATTTTAAGTCATGCCTATCCAAACACTACTTAGCACTTAAATAGTTTTTTTTATTTGTTTATTTTATTTTATTTTTAACTAGGTACTGCTATGGGATGTTAACAGGTAGTTAATTTGGCAGACCCAAGTGTTGTCTACTTCTTCATAAACTCGAACGCCAAACCTCCTGTTAGAAACTAGAGATAATCACTTGAACTATATTCAAATTATAATTTGTAAGATAATATTATGTGTGCAAGAAACAAAACATAGAAAAGTGTTTAAAGAAATAAATGTCCAAAACAGATTCATTATGAACATAATTCAAGCCATATAAAATTTAAAACTATACAGTACACTTTATTTTTTAAATATTTTTATGAATACATAACATTTTTCATAGTTTTGTGTCATAGCAAATATGCAACTCTCTCATCATGTATATGTACAACAATTGAAGTGCAAATTAATCAAAATCCAATCTATGCTAATTTCTTAATATCCTCATCACACAACAGATAAGAGAGCACTTTATTCAGTAAGTCAACTATTGATTTTACATATATCTACATCATTTATCCTTTTTTCTTACCACCAATGCAAAATAATGAGATTCACTAATACACATTTATGGGTATTTTCTACCCTTACTCAAATCTAGACTCTAAACTTAAATTTGAGTAAAAATTCATCAAAATCACATCTTCTCCTTTACTCAAAACTTATATTAGTTTTACTCAAATAAGAAAGACTCATTTTCTTTTCTCAAATTTGTAACTTATCCAAACCCAACAATTTGACACTTGCACCTAAACTTTTCACTAATTTACAGTTCGACCCATCACTTCTACTTAAACTTGACACTTAACAATTTTAGTCAAATTGAGTTTATCAATTAATGCTTTTAATATCAAATGAAACTTTTTAGTCAAACTTCTACTTAATTTGAGTATAAGGGTTATGTTGGAAATTTATTATTTTAGCTGATTTTTAATTTTTTACAAAAACACACAGAAACATAAAGAAAAGAATTGAATTTTTTTTATAGTGAGTTTTTATTTTATTTTTTTGACTATTTTAATGGGTCACCAAAATATAAGAGTAGAAGATTCTCTAAGAATATCTTTGGTTTGTATCTTTTACCCATATCAAATTTAAATTTTTTAGTAGAAACTCCCAAAATTGTCTCTCTTTTACTTGAACTCATATCAAAGTGAGTGTTATTATTTATTTTTTTTTTTCATTTAGTTAAATCAAGAGAGACTCAAATTTTTTATGTTCTTTTGTGGCTTTCAAATTTATGCTTAATTCTAAATTAAAATACTTCATATCAAATAAAGTATTTAATCATTTTTTTTTTTTACTCATTTTCTCATTTTGGGTCCAAAACATGATATAAATGTGTTTGGTGCACAATTATGTTGTAGCTTGTTCTGACTCATGCTCTTTTGTCATGTACTGCCAAAATCTTTTTTTTTCTTCCGAACTCGTTTTCATATACATTTTTACAATTTTCACTTTATGTGAAATAATGTTCATTGCTTACTCAATGTAGGTATTGGAACATACAAACTCACCAACCTCAACATGGGGAAAGGTGGAAACCATAGCCATCTCTCTCTTAAATAAGAGACAATAATATTGTTCTTCCATATCTTTGCAAGTCCTTATCAGAAAGATATTTGCTTCTCCTTAAAAGTCATTTTTCATCCATTGGAACAACTTCCTATTTTTTTTTTACTCATTTTCTCATTTTGGGTCCAAAACATGATATAAATGTGTTTGGTGCATAATAATTATGTTGTAGCTTGTTCTGACTCATGCTCTTTTGTCATGTACTGCCAAAATCTTTTTTTTTCTTCCGAACTCGTTTCCATATACATTTTTACAATTTTCACTTTATGTGAAATAATGTTCATTGCTTACTCAATGTAGGTATTGGAACATACAAACTCACCAACCTCAACATGGGGAAAGGTGGAAACCATAGCCATCTCTCTCTCTTAAATAAGAGACAATAATATTGTTCTTCCATATCTTTGCAAGTCCTTATCAGAAAGATATTTGCTTCTCCTTAAAAGTCATTTTTCATCCATTGGAACAACTTCCTATTAAAGCAAGTAATCTTTCATAAAAACAAAACAACTCCACCTCTCATGTTAATACTACAAAATAAAATGCTGTGTCCACATTAAATATAAACAAATAAATTTCACATTAATTTATTAATGTAGATCTACACCTCATATAATATTAAATGCATAGAATTACTTAAATTAATTTGGAAACTAATTTTTTTAGTCAAAAAGTTAAAAAATGACAAACGAAAAAGTCAACAATTCTTTTTACTTTTCTACATATTTTTTCATAAAAAATTAAAAAACCAACTAAAATAACTAATTCTCAAAACAATCTTCAACCAATGTGGCTAGTCCGTTTGCCTAGAATCACTGCACTTTAATGTAAAAAATAAATATAAAATAAATAAATAAATAAAATAGGCAAAATCTCTACCTTTTTTTTTTAGATGATAATACCACACCCAAAATAAACTCCCTAAAAATAACATTATTTCACATATAGCTCAAATCATATATCTACACCACATTTTACTTACCCGACACTTCTTTCGGCTTTGTAACTTTTCTTAATAAACATGTCAACAATCACACAAGTCTCTACATTACCAAACTACATATTTGGTTCCTCAAAGAACATTATCCCAAAGCTTTTTGGATATCACACAAACAAGTAGAACCACAAAAGGTCTCCATGGTTGACATCTTGATTATTGGGTAATATTTCAAGAGCGCCAAAGAAAAATGTTACGATGATTATCCATTTTTGTCATCTTATATTTATTACCATATGAGGTGTCAATCTAGCAGTATGTCAGCATTGCATTGAAAATATACAAGAATGGTGAAACTCGTTACACTGGTATTGTCATATTACATTCGCAAATAAAATGTACATGACAAAATATAAAAAATGTAGATCAAAAAATAATACTGCATTATTTAAAAATTAGTATCCTCAATGGAGCTCACATGCACAACATTTCAATACCCATGCCTGCCTCAGAACAACCATGTCCCACCACCTGCAACCAATTTTGAGTAAAAATTTCCCAAGAAAAAAGCTGACCCATCTTTTGGTCCAGATATCTTGTGGCCACAACCCCCTTTGCCTGAGACTAGTCCAGGTGAGTGGGGACCAACTGTGTCAAAAATGGTTTACAAAAACAAAAGAAAGAAGCAGAGAAAATGTCAAGGACCACATAACAGGTTTTCTTTAACCTAGGCAAGAAGACTGGTTGTCATAGTGAAAGACTAATATTCCAAGCAATATTATCGACTCATAAAAATCCAAGCACTAGTTTGCTTGTCATCATAATAACATAAACAAATAAGTCTACATTTTCACAGACTGATCATTCAAAAATAACAAAACACACTACACAATCCCACAAGCAAGGTATTCACAATTTCCAATTCTAACCTTCACCATGTTTGTTTAGTAGTTGTATAACACAAATAGTCTACTACCACTTAAATCAAAATCCAACCCTTCTAATTTACTTCTGTTATCTCTTGATCAAACTCCCAACTAAAAACTGAGCAACAACCCCTTTCTTGTACACCCTTTTCAGCAATGAGAGACCCCCCAACCCCAAAAGATTTTAATTAAAAAAAGAAGGAAAAGACAACAAAAATCAAATCAAACTTCACAATTCAGATTTGAGCTCTGAATCCAAGGTTATAATTGTCCCTTCACCTTCTAAGGATGACGGAGGAAGCTTGCATCTAGGATTCAACTTCTTCACTTCCTCACTCGAATATATGATTATCTTCTTAACCATATTACAGAATTCCCTGAAACAAGAATTTGAAAACAATAGCTGAATTAAAATCAGAAACTTTGTGCGGCAGTTAAAAAAATTGTGGGAATTTTGAAGATACTCACAGCCACGGATCATCACCCACAAGCATCATATCCCCTTCATCGTCTGTGTAAACAACTTCCCATTTATTTCGGATGTGAAGCTCTCCTTTAATCTCAAACATCTTCTCCAGCTCGTCAATGAGTGGACCGTACCCTTCCAGAGAAGTCAAGTCAACAGCACGACCAACAGCAACCCCTTGCATTTGCACCTTCTCAAACATCCAACATATTTTCATTAATAAGAATCCTAAGAAGCATAGACACTTCTAAAAAGGTAACATGTCTCACATTGTATCCAACACCGACACAAGATGATTTGGACACTTTCCAACACTTAAACATGAAACACATAGGAGTTTGAATATAAAAAAAAAAACTTAGAATCAAATGATAATACAAAACAATGTAAATTTATAACTATTTTCTTCCTTTAGATTTTAAAAATTATTATATTTAATTTCACTCAAATATTCAAATATAAATAGCGTAGCCAGTGCACGAAGCTCCCGCTTCAAATATATGACATAATAATTATTTATCCTTATATGTAACATATGATATATATATAATTATAAATTTTGCACATGTCCCCCACATGCCGTGCCCAACCTTTTTTAAAAATTTGTGTCTACGTGTCCTTGTTTGTGCTTCTTAGTTAAAAACTAAAGACCGAAATAAATTCATGTATCTAAAGAGAGCAAGCAGATTGTGTTGTACTTCACCTTAGTACGAGTTCTTGTGGAATTGGTGCAAGCCTGCTTGCTCTGCATTTCTTTCGGCAATCCCTCTGATTGAACTTGCTCCTTTGAGCAGTTCAAAACATCTACAGTTTGAGTCATATCAGCTTCAGACAACACAACCGGGGTGGGAACAGCATTTGGGCATGCCAATTCCTTCTCTGGGTGAGCAGGCCACATGGAGTTGTTTGTCAAATCAATCCCAAATAATCGACAACCAGTAGAAGTCTCAGATTTTTTCCCCCTCTCCACCAGATCGAGTGTTGCACTACTGTTTGGCCTTGACAAGCCATGAGAGGTATAATCAGAAAGAATAGATCGAGCTGCTGCATTTTTGTAGTCTCCTATTGAGTCTCGTAACAGATTTTGAGAACCATTTCCAAGTGGAGGAGACCAAATGCCATCTGCCCAAGCCCTTGAGCTACAACAGCTACCACTATTATTGAGATTGCTATTAAGGTTTATTTGCTTCGGAGGCCATATGCTTTCATTGCTTTGGACATCAGTTGTACTACCTAAGTGGCTGAATTCAAGGGACGTGGCTGATCCAGGATACCAGAAAGCAGAAGCAGCTGAATTGGTAGTATTTTCTAAAATTACAAATGCAAATCAATAAATCCTCAAACTCAACATTGGTTCACTTAAAAAACCCATTTGCAATAAGTCAGATATCATACCAGTAACTGGAAGATCAATAGATCGGGGCCTCTTGCTTTTCATTGCTGGTGGAGAAAGGTTTATCGAAGCAGAAGCTACGAAAGGTTCTATCTCCCACAGTGAAACCTTTTCTGGTCTATGTATGGTTGCTGGTTCATCCCACTGGATCTAAAAAAGGATATTGTTGGGGAAACAAGTATCAAAAACAAGGCGATAAACAAGTCACTATTCAAATAAGTCAAATCACAATTCACAAGTAATTTCCACCTTCAATGACCGCCATTTGGACTCTGGCCACTGGTGTGATATCTCCCCAACCCCAACTATAGTGCCTGTGAACCTGGAAAAAAACAAAACAAAACAAACAGGAATTATAGATCAAGAAGCCAACTCTTACCAGAAATCTCTCCACATACATAACAAGAAAATTACAAATACCTTCTCTCAGGAGAATCTTCTCCTTCAAATCTCATCTTGAATCGCATGCCAACTGAGAACCCATTTTTTACAGCCTCTAGATATTTGTTCAACCCAATGATAAACTGGCTTGTCCTGGTCATTTAGCATGGAGCATAAGAAAAATAATGCTAAAATATATCATCAAGAACACACCAATAGATATCATCTTGAGAGGGAGGGGATTGAACCTTGGTTTGTAGTAGACAACAAATAGGGTTTGTGTAGTAATGGCATGAGATGCAGTGGCAAGCACTCCTAGATGCATGCTCTGGCTGGATATCACTGACGGTGGCATAGGGGTCTGCTGCCGAGCAAGTCGGCGAACCCCAACTCGAAGTTCCCCACTATCACCTCTGCATAATAGGCAATCATTGATTAAAAACAAAGAATCTCAATCCCAACAGTACAAGAAAAGAACTTTTAAAAATTACAAATAAATAAAATAAAATAAAATAAAAATCAAGTATCGAATACCTCAGGAAAACAAAAGCATCCCCTGCAACTAATCTTTTGGAAGTCACAAAAGTACTCCAGCCTGTCGTAAGCAAATGTCTTCGAGGTTGACCTGATATCATCAATTTATGCAAAGGAAAAGAAATATAGATTTCACGTCTCAGGATGTTATCTATAGACTATACCTGAATTAAAAGACAACATGGCAAAAAGGCACGAAGCAAATGGCAAGAAGGGTGGGACTTGCCTCTGAATATATGCTTAAATCGCCACTCATACCCATGAAGATCTTTGGCAACCAAATCCTGGGTTGGGGTTGACTGGGTCATGTCCTGAAGGATATGAAAAGGCAACTCAAATGTTTGAATAATTTAGCTGGGTAAAGAAGAGAGAAGAGGCCGTTATCATCCCCAATCGTTTGAAAAATAGAAAGAGAAAAAGAAAAAAGAACAAAAAAGGTTTATTACGCGATTAAGGAGAAATCAAAACCACTTGTCATGAGAATTTAGAGACAAAACTAACAATCACCAAGAGACTCTAAAAAGGTAACTTTTCTTTTCTCCCTAAATCACCAAATCCAAACAATTTTGAGTAATCAAAACCCCACTATAACAGTACTAATTACAACCAATTTCCCATATATTAGGCCTACTTTCCAATTTCTTGAAACTATAACATCAACTTAATTTCAATTTTGTTTTTTCTTTTTCTCAGATAACTAACAGAACAGAGGGAAATGAAAATGAGAGAAATTACCAATTGTGGCAGGCATTCGTTGGCATGCTTCCGAAGAACAGAAAACCCTCCATGGGTGCTAGTATCAGATGCCGTTAAAATTTTACAGAAAGAATGAACAGTCTGTTTCGGTTGCTCTGGCGGGCTCGGATCAGGACTTGTAGGTTCAGATTGCTATTATCATCGCGACAAAACATTCACACACAAAATTACTTTAAAAACCCAATTTTCCCAATATTGCAAGGCATAAAAATAAATGATTTAACAGTAATAAGCTCACATCTGCTTCTGGGTGTAAAGTGATCTGTGCATAGACTTCATCTGTTTCTGGCTCTGCCTATTAGTTTGAATCAGGACAAATACAGGTAGTAAAAACGAAAGCAATTCCATTCATAAATTCAAACAAAGCAGAGAAACAAAACTTTCTTAAAAACAAAGATCAACGAATCCAGAAATGGAGTAGTACCATTAAATGTATGTTCACAACGCGACAAAGGATCTTGGATGGAAGATTAAACTGTGGGATTTGTTGATTAAGTTCTTCATTTGTTGATGCCTCTAACTGCAAACCCAATAGTTTATTACCCAAATCACAAGAAAACTATAGATAGAAAATGAAGAGACAGAGAGAGAGTTGCATACTTGTTCCATGTGACCTTGTGGGAAGTAGAAGACCCTCTCTCCAGGTCGAGGAACATCAACCAGAGGGCCTGCACATGCCTTCCATAGCTCCGTATACAGATCATGACTTCTCAAACCTATCCATGAAAAAAAATATCGAAAACAAAAAAGAAAATATAAGGATCAGCTTCAAATCTTTGTCCGTTTTGCCGAGAAAGTGAAGGAAAACAGAACACAACAAGAGTTGAAAACTTCAGTTGCGAGGCTGAACAGCAGAGCACGTAAAATTACAAATTTTCCCCCCCTTTCCACTTCAACTTTCTCAGCAACCAAACAGCAGATTTTAGCACAGTATTTTGCCAGAAAAACACTACAATTCCGGGAAAAAAACACAAATCCAGCATCTCCTCACCTGTATCATGACGTTCCCCTCTGAGATTATCCACATGCGCCATTAAAATAGCTGAACCAAAGCTCACAATCTAGAGAGAGAGAGAGAGTAGAGAGAGAGAAAGCAAAAAACGACTAATGTAGCTTCAGAAACCTTGTTCACGAACTTCAACCTACCCCATTTATCATCATCATCATCATCTTCGAAGCCGTTATCTAAACAATAATAATCACAGAAAACCCTTTTGATTGTTGTATATAATACACACTTGGTAACAGTCTCTCTATGTAACCGATTTCAATCGATTATTGACGATTGTCTTTCACTCTCTCTCTCTTTTATCAGTTACAAAACCGCTCCAACTTTGTCTTCTCAGTAACAAAACCGCCTTTTTTTTAGCCCAAACACTGCTTTTCCTTCAACATCTCCATCACCTGAATCGACGTTACCAAATCCCAAAACCGCTTTCCAAGCCTCCTCTCTCCTCTCTCTTTCTTTTCTCTCTATATAGGCCTGTCACACTCTCTCTCTCTCGAGTTTCTCTCTCTATATAGGCGTTTTCTCTTTCTCTCTCTAAAGTAGAGTTTAACTGTGGTTAGGTTTAGGGGGGAAGTAAGGGTTGTCCGTACGAGAGTAAACGACAGTCGTCTGATAACGGCGGCTGGCATTTATGAGAGAATATAATGCCATCCAAACAGAAAAAATAGTAGTAGAAAATGACGTAAAAACATTGATCAAGATCATTTTTTTTGTTTTCAAAACTGCACATTATTATTTATTTTTATCAATTCTATAAATATATAAAAAATTTGAAATGATATTTATTTTGATTATATGATAAGTTTTACACTAATATTAATAAATAAAATATTACAAAAATTGGTAAAAGTTTATTCTAAAATGAAACACTAATAAATTTTAAATAGTGATGTTATGAATTATTTGATTTTTTTTTCCCTTATAAACCCAAAAGTTTTATTATAGTGTGAATTATATAAATGATCAATTATAAACGTACGTGTATTATGTGTTGAAGGATAAATGTAAGTTTTCGTATAATATTGAAATTACTAAATATAACATTTCAAAAAAAAAAAATTTGCTTAGTGTATTTTTTCAAAGATAACATTTCAATATAATACTCTAATATAATACTGGCATGTTTGATTGGAAGGATTAGAACATGGGATTGGGATTATTAATCCGTGGGCCCAATTATCCCATGTTTGTTTTGATATTTTGTTTTGGGATTATTAATCCAATGGATAATTAATCCAACAAATTTATAGGATTATTAGTAATGGAGTAGGGGTGGGATTGTGAATACCACACTAATTTAATAGGATTGTTAATACCTCACTATTAGTCTTGTGGAATCAAACATGGCCTAAAAAAATTGCTTAGTGTATACGCAAATATAATACTCCAATCAATATAACATACAAAAATTATTTAGTGTATTTTGTTCAAACCTAACACTCCAATATAACAAATTAAAAAACTCATTAGTATATTTTTCTTAAACATAACAATGTAACATTCTAAAAAAATTATTTAGTGTATTTTTTTCAAAAGTAATACTCCAATCAATATAATACACAAAAATTTCTTAGTGTATTTTTTTTCCAAATGTAACACTTCAATTAATGTAACATACAAAAACTTTTTAGTATACTTTTTTTTCCCAAACGTAATACTTCAATCAATGTACACGCAAAAACTCTTTAGTGTAATTTTTTCAAATGTCACACTCTAATATAACAAATTAAAAAACTTTTTAATATATTTTTTTCAAACATAAACGTAAACGTAGCATTCCCAAAAAAAAAAAAAAAAAACCTTAGTGTATTTTTTTTAAATGTAACACTCTATAACACATAAAAATATCTTAGTGTATTTTTTACGAACGTAATACTTTAATATACCACTCCAATGTAACACCAAGAAACCACACTAACATAAATATAGATTTTTACACTTAACTACCAACACATCAGCCATCAATTTCTCCAAAAATAATTTTTCACACCTTACTTTTCCATTCCCATCCCGAAAATGAATTGAAAAATTAGAAAAATAAATCACAAAAAGATATTCACTTAAACTCAAATTACAATGTTAACACCATAAATCTGCAATTTTTATTATTATTTATTATTTATATAATTGCAGGACACGTGGCATCCTCTTATTCATTTGGAAGTTAAAAGAAGTTATAGAGATAATGGAGAATATGAAGGACAAAACCACTCCAATGTAACACCAAGAAACCACACTAACATAAATATAGATTTTTACACTTAACTACCAACACATCAGCCATCAATTTCTCCAAAAATAATTTTTCACACCTTACTTTTCCATTCCCATCCCGAAAATGAATTGAAAAATTAGAAAAATAAATCACAAAAAGATATTCACTTAAACTCAAATTACACTAAATCAAATAAATATAACTTTTCAAAACAAAAAGGATTAATTAATTCGTAAGAAAACTCTTAATACTAGGCTTGGTTTGGGAAGTGGGTTGGCTTTTTGGCTTTTTTGGCTATTTTAGCCTGGGCCAAAAAGCTTGGTTTGGGAAGGGCTTTTTGGCTTTTTGACTTTTTTGACTTTTTTTATGAGAGAAGAATGTAATAATTATGGGTTGGATGTGATATTTTGTTTGTTATGGCTAAAATAGCCTATTTTGTTTTTTGTGGCTAAAATAGCCAAAAAAGCCTGAAAACTAACTTGCCAAACAGAGGCTAAATGGATCAATATTCCTTTATATGAGATTTATGGTTAAATTTACTTTCATTTTATAAGTGTATATAAATTTAATGATTAATTTATTTTGATTATAAAAACATGATTAATGAAATATATTAAAAAGAAATACAAATTAGTATCTTAAATGATATTTTTTGTATGCTTACACAATAATTGGGGCCGCCGGCCTGAGATTTTTGAGACCCATCCTTTCATGTATGAATAAATAAATAAATAAATAAATATATCATAAATTTAAAAAATTTACCCTAGATATAATATAAATTTAAAATTAATGTAATAAGAGCCATGCCCATAATGAGATCTATAAATATATTTTTTTTGATATAATTTTTGAAAGAGAAACATTTTCTTTTATTTATTAAATTTGAATTTCATGAAAATTTTAAAAAGTAAAACATTGAGGATAATTGCATAATGCTCTGGACCCCCTTTCTCCTCCACCCCTACACACGCGTGGGGGTTGGTGAATGGAGGAAAAGAAAAGAAAAAAAAAAGAATCTGGACCAATGGGGTGCCAGTGGGGGTCGTGGGGGTCTCAATCACAGTTCGAGGATAATTTGTTTTCATCAAATTTGATGAAAAGATAAATTTGAGATATGAAAATAATTTTTAGAAAGTTTTTGATGATATTAATGAAAGAGTTGGAGTAGTTTACACCAAATTAAGTTTTTTTTCTCAAATTTATAATCAAATTAGTTGAAAAAAGTAATAAAAAAATTAGAAATATTCTAAAGACCTTTAATTTAGATTGTGAAATTACATTAGTTGGTTTGGGCCTTTATTTTTAAACTTACTAACAAGATAAATGTTAAAATTATGTGGAGTCCTTTATATGAATAATATGGTATTTCAAATTGTTATTGTCATTTTGAAGAAAAAAAAAATTAAGAAAAAGAGTTTGGGCATTTTCCTCAAAACTTTCAAATTTGAATTTATTGCTGGAGTGCCATAAATATTTATAAAATGCTCTTGTTAGGACAAATAATAAGATACTTTTTATTGAAAATAATTTTGGTTTTTACTTATTTTCAGGATTTTATTTTAATCCATTTTCAATATTAAGCAAGCACAATTTAGCATTTGCCTCTATAAAATTTGTTAGTATGTATTTTTTTACTTTTCATTTATACATAAGAGTTTTTAACTAATAAAAAATGTATTGTTAAAAAAAAATTAGACTTTTAGTTTCATGAGTTTTTTTTTTAAATATTCTATAAAAAAAATAATTTACAGAATTGATTCACTTTTCAAACTATTTGAAAAACTAACCTATTTTCTGAAATCGCATTTTAAAAATATAATTTTAAATTGAAATCACTTTTTCAGCATGCAATTTAAATTTAAAATCACATGTTGAAAATTATGATGATATGGATTTCACTAAGATATATTATATTTTCAATTTAAAATTACATTTTTTAAATGCAATTTTAAAAAATAAGTTAATTTCTCAAATAATTTAAAAAGTGAGTCAGTTTTCTAAATTATTTTTTTTCGAATATTAAAAAAAAAACTCTTAGTTTCGTCATCCTTACAAAATTATCCAAAATATAATCAAAAATTAATGATAGCAACTAGGGATGGCAATTTAAAACCGGCCCGACGGGGATCCGTCCCCTCGTCCCCAATAAGAGCGATTTTTCTCAGAAAAATACTCCCCACGGGCCGGGGATGGTATTTGAAATTGAATCCCCGATTAGTTTCGGGTCGAGGACGGAGATAGCTTTCACAGCCCCGGACTTAGTCCGTCCCCAATTCTCTCCGAAATGAAATTAATATCCTTCTATTTATTCATTTATATATATATAACCCCCCTATGTTTGTTTTCTCCTCTGGTTTGTCTCTCTCTTTCTTCCCTCTACTCTCTTTCACTCTCTCTTCTCTTCGCAGACAACTCTTTTTCACTCACTCTGCTCTCTGCAGTCGGCGACATCTCTCTCTCACTCTCTTCTCTCCACAGTGGCGACGGCTCTCTCTCACTCACTCTTCTCTCTGCATTGGCGATAGCATTGTCTCCTCCTCCGTAGCAATATGTACACCCTCGTATCCTCATCTTTCGCGCAATCGCCGAGCCTTCATACTCCGGCTTCGGTTTCCGCCACAGCAAATCTGAGTAGGTCCCGCCACCGTCGACTTCCTTGTTCTTACATCTCACATCTCAGATTTGTGTGTTACATGTATGTCTCTGTGTTACTGTATGTATGTATACATGTATGTCTGTGTTACATGTATGTGTCTCTATCTGTGTTTATTTCTTTTTTTTTTCTTTTTTTTTTGATGATGTTGTCGTTGATGATGTTGTTGTTGATGATTTATTATTGAGAGAGAAAACTAAATACAGAGAGAGAGAGAGAGTCGCAGGGATTTTTCGGGATCGGAAAAACCGATCCCCGTTAGGAGGCGGAGGTGGGGGGTGAATGGTTTCTAGCCGAGGATCGGGGACGGGGACAAGAAATTTTGTAGCTTCGGGAACCAGAGATAGGAAGGGCGACCTCCGACCTCGCGCCCGCCCCGTTGTCATTCCTAATAGCAACACATGAGTTTCATTTATTATTATTTTATTTTATTTTTTATTTTTTAAGTTATAGTCAAAACTCACGCGTGAATATATATAAGGAATATAATAATGAAATTGGTGTTACTATTTTAACTGTAATACAATATGAATAATTAATGTAAAGAAAAAAAATATTTTAATGTATTTATCTATGTATCTATATTATTATAAAGTAAATACCAAATAAAAAAATTAGATGAATTTGG